AACGACTAAAGGCACCAGGCCCCACTCGTTCATTGCCAGCTCAGCTGTGCACAAAGAATCACCAGCTTCTCTCTGCAAACTTGCTAACGTGCGTGTGTGACATTATCATTTTCATAGCCGTATTACCTCCCTCATGCGACCGTGCCATTGCCATCGCCACAAAGCAGGTAAGGCAGGAGAAGAGCCACCCTGAGGAGGGCATCACTCCCACACGTGCCACCCACAAGCTGGGGGTGTCTGGGAGCCTTGCCGTCTGCGGCAACAAGCAGGTCTTGGGAGCCTAAGGGGAGGGCTAGATGCATGGAGAAGAAAAGCTGGGTGCTGATTCTCCACGGGATGGAAAGCAGCTGGATCCACGAAAGAGCTTTGGAGGTACATGGGATGGGGCGAGGGTGAAGTTCAGAGGGAAGAAATGGAAAGAGGGCCTGGAGCAAACCATCTCCGTCTCCCAGGCTAGCTGTGAATGTTCTGGAGGTAACCAGGCAGAGTAGGCAGGGGGCTTAGGAAAGAGCCAGAGGACAGCGGCCCATGCCAATGAGCACAGAGGAGGCACACGTGGAGGCAGCAGAAAGAATTCTGGACAAGAATCAAGGTGGTTAGACCAACCGGCAATTGAGAAAGTCATCTCAGCGGAATGTAATCAAAAGTTGCTCCGCAGAACCAGGAAATCAACTGAGGGCAAAAGGACGAAAAGGGATTAGAGAAACAGCAGGTCCACACTGATTTTCCTGCTAACATTTTATGGGTTTTCGCTATTAGAAATAATTCCGTCACTACCTACGTCAAAGGGTTATAAGGATAAATAACGGGCATAAGTGCTTAAAAAAAAAAAGAAAAGCACCCAGAAATGGAAGGATTTTTTTTTTAAATGGAAAATTATAATGAAAAGCTTTTCAAAGGAATCTGATGTTGCCCTTTGATGGACTGCTTATCAAGTCAGCCTTTCCCAGTTACTAAAAATAATTACAATATGAAACTCCCTGAACAGAAAAAAGCCATGAGAATGAGGCCTCGTTTATACAGTTTCATGGATTTAGAAGCTTTATTAAAACCGCACCTTCCATAGCTGATATACTGATAAACTGTGGCTCCGTATGCTGAGACCTCTCATTGCCTTCAGGTTATAAAGTTGCTAAGTCAAAAGCTGAATGGCATAAACTTAAATACGTTAATTGTGATAAAATTTTTTTGGATAGACTCAAATCGCAAATTTTCCCTTGTAACTTTGCTCTGAGAGTTAACTTAATTTGTACTCAATTGGCATCTTTTTCACACCTGTCTAAGGCTGGGGCTGTGATTCAGGGTAGGTCAGTATTTTAAGAGGAGCCAACGTAACCCACCACCGCTGGGCAAGGGCGGAGCCCCAGCGTGTTCTTACTGCTTACAGAACTTGAGGCCCAGAATCTAGTGCAGACTTAACTCTGCGGGACGGGAGACTCAAACACCGAAGGGCATGTTTGGGGAAGTGCTCTAAGTGGAGAGTGAGGGCAGAGCGTAAAAGGGCGGGGGGTAAGAACAAACAGGGCCCCACGCAGTACCCCCTTCCCTCTCTTTAGACAGCGTGAGTGGGGGAGGGGCAGGGGGAGAGGGACAGGGTGCCCCTTTCCCTCTTAACAAGCTGGTGGCACTGGGCCATTGTAAGAGTCCGGGTCTCCTCTGGGCATCTTCCCCCCCCAGCTAAGTGGTTTGGGAGGCAGCTCTGCTCCTCGGGGAAAATTCGTGTAAAGGTGACTCTAATGCAGTTGTTTATAGTTAGTATATTTAATTCTCTCAAGTATTGTGTTTCTATCTTATGGAAGTACTATAATCCTTTAACTCTACAAAGCTTAATTAAGAATAAGAATTAGAAAAATTCTTTGACAATTCCAAGTGAGGTTCAAGTTGTCTTTAAGACGCTTAGATATTTCATACGATTTTTTTTTTTTTTTTTGAGAGAGAGCGACAGAGTGTGAGCACGGGAGGGGCAGAGAGAAAGGGAGACAGAATCCGAAGCAGGCTCCAGGCTCTGAGCTGTCAGCACAGAACCCGATGCGGGGCTCGAACTCATGAACGGTGGGCTCATGACCTGAGCTGAAGTTGGATGCTTAACTGAGGCTGACAGGATTTTAAATGGATTTAAAGAACATGTGTTTCCTTCAGACCCCTCTGGCTACTCCCCTGCTGATTCCCCTTCCATCCACCCTGTAAAAGCACCATCCATAGCTCTCCCCTCATTCCACACACCGCCCCTCCCTATACGACCTGCTCTCATAGCCTCAACGGTCATTGCAAAGCCACCGGTTCCCAATCTGCATCCCCAGCCCGTCCGTCTTCCAAGCTCCAGACCCATTTTGCAACATTCAATGCTGGGTCTTCATTTCCCCTCAACAAACGGCACCACTGTCGTCCAAGGCAGAAGTCAGAAATCGAGGCGCCACCCTTGCTTCCTTCTCCCTGTGTCCACACTACGATCAGTCACCAGTCACAGAGTCCCGTGGGTTCTTCCTCCTGATTCTGTCTGACCTGTCCCCTCTGCATCCAGGCTGCAGTTTAGGCCACCTCTCTGCCTCTGGTCCTGTATGCACTTCTCCCAACACTCTCCTTGCTGCAGGCTGGAGCCATCACTCCAGCACACAAATGCGCCCGTGGAACTGTCTCCAGTGGCGGCCCTCTGTCCTCGTGATGGTGCCCGCACTCCCGTGTGACCTGCGGGTTGCTCTGAAACCTGCCCTTGATCCCCTAACACTCTACACTCTAGCTCCCCCTCTCTGCCATTTTCTCGTCCCCCCTCTGCCTTGAATGTTCTCTCCGCCCCGCCCCCCCTCCCCCCATTACTACTTCGGTGGCCCGCCTAGCCATTCCTTGCAAGTGCATTTCCCCAGGCAGCCTGCCTTCCCTGACTCGGTAAGCCTGGGCCAGCCCTGGACCTCACCGCTTTCTGCTCCAGCCCACATACGGCACTTATTCTTAGAGACTGTACTTCTGCTTGGAGCACGATCAACGGCTAAGCAGGCGCTGTGATCCACAGCCCTTTCCGCCCCCCAGCACGGGCCTGGCGCACGACTGGAAAACTGAATAATCCTGCATCAGTGCTCCTGGGAAACCTAGTTCCCTGCAAGCGACTGTATTTCACATGTCCCAGCACCTGCAATTCCCTTGAGATCAGAGTAATTAAGGCAGCTGGATGAAAACACTTGCATCAACTGCCCCCCCCCCCCCGGGCCAATATGGTACTGACAGCACATTCCCTCAAGAGCAGCTTGGATGCATTTTATAAATATCTACTTTCATTTATCTCCTGCCCTGAGAAGATGTGGAGAAACGCACACAATGGTCCAGTTCAGCAGGCCCTCAAAGACGCGCCCGTAGGCCTTGGGGGGCCATTTGCCCAAGGGGACTTCCTGCCTCCCGAGAACTGCCATGGGTGTCCCATTTAGGAAAATTATGAAACGGGCTCGTTTTACTTGGGGTGAAGTACAGACAAAGCATTTCTAGCCACACCTTCTCCAACCCAACTACCTTCTGTGTGAACTAACCTTCTTGAGGATCGTAGTTTATATTTGTACTTAAGTGGAAACTAAACAGTATCTCAACTCAGATAGGAAGCGGCTCTGAGGTTCCGGTTTGTTTCGCTCCGAGGTTTTAACAAGGCCGTGGACCTTCCAGGTGGTCTTTTCCCTGCGCTGCTCCCCAGACCCTAAGAACTACTGCCCGGAGTTCCATTACAGTTGGTCGGTGAGCTAAACCTCTCCCCCACCGCACGTGCATACAGCAGGCGCTCGGCACACCCAAGTGCGATGGCTGAGAGGCAGGTCTGCTACCGCTTTTTAAGTTCAGTCTCCAGCTTTTGAAACCATGGGTGCGTCCTCTGGGGCGCCCGGCAGGCTCGGTCCGTGGGGCGTGCGACTCCTGATCTCGGGGCCGTGAGTTCGAACCCCACGCTGCGGGTAGAGACGACTTCGACAAAGAAAAACCACGGGCGGGAACAGACAGGCTCTCCTTACGCGGCGGTCGCGCACGTTCAAAGGGAGGAGTGCCCGTCAGGTCCGAACTACCTCTCCGAACGCGTCTGGACTCTCGAGCCGCGGGGCACTGCCCGCCAAGGAACCAGGGCGTCTACACCCACGCCAGACACCGAACGGGCTCTGGGAGGCGGCGCGGGAAGCACGCTGCAGCGTCCAACTCCCAGCTCCTCACAACTGCCCGCGCCTCCCGGTCCCCGAGCATCAGCGCGGTCGAGTCCCGACCCAGTTAGCGACAGTTCGTTCCTGCAAAGGCTACCGGTTTGAGGAACGGACCTAAAGCGCCTCTGAGGGCACGGCGACCGCTCCGGCTGCGGCCCCGTGGCGCCAGGCCCGAGCCCGCGGGGACACCCCGCTCTCCGCCACCGCGGCCGCCTCCGGGCTCCCGCCGGACACCCGCGCTTCCAGCCGGGGCCGCCCTTCCCGCGCTTACCAGGGTGAGGGCCACCTCCAGCATCGGGGCGAGGGCCAGGGTGCCGTGGAAGAGGGGGATACAGTCCACGAAGAGGGTGTGGGGGGCCCCGGGGCCGCCCAGGGGGAGGTGCTCCTTGCGGGGCTTCTGCTTCTCGGCCACCAGCAGTCCGTTGACGGCGCAGTGCGGGTACTTGGCGCCGTGCAGCACCATCTTGCAGTAAGCCTGGGTGGTCAGCTTCACCCCGGGCATACTGCGCCCGGCAGGGCCCCGGAGGCCCCGGCGCCGGCTCAGGCCTGGATCCCCCGCCCGGCCGCCAGGCGCCTCAGCGGAGAAGCGGGGTGAGTCGTCGGCGGCGGCCTGGCGCGGCCCCGCGGCTGGCGGAGGCCCGCACGGGCCCGGCCCCGCGGCGGGCTGGGCTCCCCACACACTAGCAACCCGCCGGGGAGAAGGCGACGCGCCCGCCTCACACTCCACTCGCGCTTCTGGCCGGGCGCCGCCGTAGAGCAGCCTCTCGACGCCGCCGTAAAGCGGCCCGACCAGCCCTTTTACGACGCTGGCGGCGCTGCCCTCCTTCCGCTCGGGTGACCCCCGGCGCGGCCGGGTCCTCCTCGATCCCGTGGTGCTCCGCGCGCGCCCTCGTTCCTCTCTTCCGGTAGCGGGCAGCCCGGACATAGAGGGCGGTCGCGGCGGGCAGCGTCGGACGGCAGGTGAGCGGGCCGAGGATGGCGGGCGGCCCTCGCCGCGGGGCCGGGGAGGGCCAGGGGCCGGCAGCCAGCGGACGAGCGTGCCCGCGACCCGGCGGCCCGGCGCCAGCAGGGAGCGGCGACTGGGCCTCGGAGCCCTGTGACATTGAGGCCGGCCGGCGGGGTTTCGGGGCTCGGGGGCCGCCGGCTCGCGGCCTGTGTGCCGCCCCGCGGCATCCCGCCTGGCTGCACCTGCGCCGCCCCGGCCGTGGTCTAGTTTCGGGTTCTGACCTTGGAGCGCCCGCTGGCCGAGGGCGGGGCCAGGGGTCGGCGGCTCTGCAGCCTAGGCCGCAGCCCTCCAGCTACGACTGCGCGACCGCACCGGTTTAACGGCGCTCGGGGAAAGCCGCCCCGCGTCCGCCCCCGCGCGGGCCAGGCCCGGGGAGAGAAGACGCGGGGTGCGAGCCAGTTCAGCCCTGACGTCATGCTTATGTTTATTGTGCGTTTTCCCAGTGCGTTCGGCGTCCCTTTGGTCGTCAGCAGTCCCCTGCTGAAGTCCCCGTTTGGAAGGAAGGGGAGGTAGGGGAGATGGGCCCGAAGCCGGAAGGACCCGGGTGGGAGCTGGGTCATCCAGGTCATCGTCCGCGGACACTGGCAGTGGACCAGGCCGTATTTGCAGCCTTTCTGCCTGATGTCTTCTTCCTATTTTAGGCACCTGCTAGGTTTTTAACCAAATGCTCAGTTGCATGCAGTGCATGCCGGTACCTTTGAGCTGTTTCCCCTTTTCCTCCAGACAGTGGAGCCCGTCATGGTAGCTCAGCGCTTTAGGGTTTAGCTTTCTCATCTCAGTCTCCTTACTAAAATTTCTTCTCCTTGTTTTTTTTAACAAAGCCAGTTTTCTGCTAATTTCCTGTATATATATTTCCTGAGTATATATTAATGGCGTTTGGCCTATTATGAAGCCCCGTAAAAACATGTCGATTGTTCATAAAAATCTCATTCTCGGGTATTTTGTGAATTTAGAGTCGGTAACGAAGAAACAGTGGGTCATAGATGTTGGGGATAAAAAACCAAAGTTGCATCGACTTCCCAAATCAATGCACTGGAATCCCCGATGGGTGTTTGCCCTTATTCATAGAGAAGGTGTGCATTTTTCTCTTTCAGAATGTTGGCTACCAGAGTGTTTAGCCTAATTGGCAAGCGAGCAATTTCCACCTCAGTGTGTGTACGAGCGCATGGTAAGTGTAACTTCTTTAAAATGGGCTGAGCTGATTTCATCCTGTTCCCACTGTGTGTGAGCTCCTATGCCGGAGTTTCAAACACAGATGGTCTAAGGTGGCTCAGATCCTGATTCTGCTGTTGTGGGACTTCAGGGGGGGGGGTATCAATATTTTAACAGGGCTTACCTCTGGATTATAGAGCATTTATGAATCACGTTGAATACTGGTCTGGATTTTTGCTTACACTAATATTTCCCCCCTTTTCCTTCCCTTCCCTTCCCATTTTTTTTTCAGGTTCAAGTTCCACCCCTTTCAAGAGATCTCCACCATACATGACTTTAATGATTTCCTCTCTCCACCTAAAAAAGTCCCAACCGTTTATCTTAAATACCACTTGCATTGTTGGGGCAATGGAAAGGAAGGAGCTTGGACTTCTAGCCTGAGCAGAATTTAATCTCATTTTTGTCTTGGATGAGCTACTTACACGTAGGAATCTCTTCTCACCTGAAATATATGTAAAGAGTTTAGTTCGTGCCCAGCACATGGCGAGTTTAGTTTTGCATTTATCAAGCATCCTTGGGCCTTTCCCCAGGATGTTTGCCGTCTGGAGAGGGACAGATATGTGAAGACAGTATTTGAATAAGTGATGTACCCTCAGAAGAAACACTTACCCTGGCCTGGGGTTCAGGAGAGGTTTTTGGAGGGGCGGCTTCTCTGTGCTGAAGTATTAGCAGGTTTAACCTTATATTCTAGAGGAGAATGGCATCCTAGACGGAGAGAAAGCCAGCGAAAGGACAAAACGCAAATTACCATGGCAGGTTGTGTTAGGGAGGGGTCAAGTGCAAGGCTTGAGTAGTGATAACTTGGAGAACAAGGCCTATGAATCCAGGGGCTCAATAACCAGTAACTGCTACTGCCTCAACTGCTTTTATGTGTGAATTTTTCCTTGAAATTGTGTCCTCGAATTGGTGATCCTGTCTGTTGTCTTGCATTTTCCTCCATTCCTTATATTGTCCAGGATAACACAGATCATCTAGTGAGAGTATCGTTGAAATGTTTGTTATTTAAATGGGGATGTAATAAAGACAAGTTTGTTGTTTAATTAGTAGGTGTGGAATGAAACACTCCTTCGTTGTAGGAAGCCAGGGGTATCTGGGTGGCTCAGTCAGGTAAGCATGTGACTCTTGATTACATCTCAGGTCAAGATCTCATGGTCGTGGGGGTGAGCCCTGCGTTGGGCTCTGCACTGACAGTGAGGAGTCTGCTTGGGATTCTCGTTTCCTTCTCTCTCTTGAAATAAAATAGACATTTTTAAATTTTTTTTTTTCAACGTTTATTTATCTTTGGGACAGAGAGAGACAGAGCATGAACGGGCGAGGGGCAGAGAGAGAGGGAGACACAGAATCGGAAACAGGCTCCAGGCTCTGAGCCATCAGCCCAGAGCCCGACGCGGGGCTCGAACTCATGGACCGCGAGATCGTGACCTGGCTGAAGTCGAACGCTTAACCGACTGTGCCACCCAGGCGCCCCAAAATAGACATTTTTAAAAAGCCTAGCAAGTGACTTAATGACAGATTATATTTTATTTCTATCTTGGCTTTGCTTATGTATTTTCTAAGCTTTGTTTAATTCGTTTGAGGTACAGTTTACAGAAAGTACAATTTCCTTTTTCTAAGTGTAATGTTCTGTGGATTTCGATAAGCTCACACAGCTGTGTAACAGCGATGCCAGTCAGGACTACGACATTTGCATCACTCCCGAAAGTTCCTTCACGCCCCCTTGGTCATTCTGGCCTTTCATAAGAAGCCAGCTTCCTTCTCTTTACAGTGGCATTAGCCAAAACTTACTCTTAGTTAAATTAGTCCCTTTTTGAAATCCTCCGGTGTCTTCTCGTGTCTGGGGTAAGATCTGCACTAGGCCTCTCTGATGTTATCAAAGCAGACTCAAAAAGGAAATGACAGACCCAAGGCAGCTCTCCCGGGTGCTCAGGGTCCCCGTCCCCAGGGGTGTGACACATTCCTGGTGTGCGGCAGGCTGTGGCTTCTGCCTCAGAGCTCCAGAGTTGTTATTTTAGAATAGTCTTTCCTCACCGCCCTTTGTGAAGATGCTGCCTGGCCTACATCATCCTGCTTTGTCTGCTTGGAGGGCTGACATACTGGGGTTTCTGTGTGTTGTCTCTTTGCTTCCAGGATGCAAACTTTTTTGAGGCCGAGAACCTGCCTTTCTTCATGGCTGTGTTTTCGGTACACAGTATGCAGGTGGAGAAAACTGCGGTCCATTGAATAGGTCTTGTCTTTTTTTTTTTTTTTTTTTTTTTGGTTTTTTTTTTG